TGCTCGTGGCGGTGAGCTATTACGCGTTGTACTCGCCCAGCGAGACGATGGCGCAGTGTTGATCGCGAGACGCCATACGCGGCAGCAGCAGCTTTTTGTGATTTAAAAACACCATTATGATAATCGCGGATAGCAGATTGAATAGATTCTTCGCGATTGGACATATTAGGCACGTTGTGGTGGTGGTGGGCAGCTTCAAAATTCAAAAATAGTTGTTGTTGGTGGAGTGGTTGGGGTGGCCACTACTGGGTGTGGCCATTACTAGGTGTCCGAGCTTATATATCTCTATGCAGTGTCTTGTGCAGAATAGTAAGTGACTTTGTAAAAATGTCTTGATGTATAGGCCCTGTGCCGTCTAGAAAGACCTCGTTCGACGCTTTCGTGACGAGGAAGTCTTTAGCTGACTGATGCACAAAGTAGACTGTGTCGTCGCGTAGCGTGAGGAACGATCCACAGAGACCGATAATCTCCCGCACAGACTCTAGATCATCAACAAAGTCCGCAAGCTGCTCAGTGATCACGACTAGCTCAGCGACTGTGACGGGTCGGTACAGTACAGCAGTCACTGCTAACACCCGCAGACAGATCTCGGCGCTGTCGGACTCGCATATCTGCTGTAGCATCCGCTTGTACAGGGGGTCGAGCCCAGGCGGGAACTGGGCTAACTTCTTAAGCACGCTCCACTTTGGCGTCACTTTGAGGTCTTGGCACACTAACGCAACCCAGAGGAAGGTGTCGTTCGCGTTCGATGTCAAGTGCTGGAGCACCGCGTCTTGCACCTCTGGCGTGTAGCGCTTCTCTTGCGCTAGCTGATGCACCTTCTGCTGGACGAAGAGCTTGACCGCTGCTGCCACTGACTCGGCGTTCAGCTCAAGGCTCAGCCGCGTTTTGTGCTCTGCACGCTCCAGCTGTTCCTCGATGGCTGGCCAGTTACGACTAGACACGATCCACTTGACGCGAGAGGATGCAGACGACTCCTCTGCGATAAAGCTGAGTAGATTCAGCCGATCAGTCATGCATTCATCGAGCGCATCGATGATCAGGTACGTCGTGCTCAAGCCCTTGTCTCGCAGCACGGCGGCAAAGATCTCTGTTAAGGCGACCCAGGCATTAGCGTCATTGAACAATCTTCCGCCTGCGCGATCGTGCTTCTTGCGAACATGAACTGCAAGTGATGGTTGCTGGTCCACGAGCATATATAACAAGCCCCGCAGCACAGCCGAGGCACTATTAATGCGCGAGTCAGTCGCCTGACAGAAAAAGTATGAAAAAAGGGTAGATTTTGTCGTCAAGTTTTGCAGTTCGTCGATGATGCCGCATAGCAGCATCGTCTTGCCTTTGCCAGGATCACCTTTCACCCACAATAGTCGGCTCTCCAGGTCTTGCTGCCACTGCTGGAAGGTATTGTTGCCAAGAACCCAACGGTAAGCGCCCGCAAGCAGCCCGCCTTTAGTCTCCTCGATCCGCTTCTTGTCATCGCGCGGATTGCTAGGACACAAGTCTTGGAGGCACTTGTTCTGCTTGTCAACCTCATCCAGAACCCGTTTCATTGCTTCAGCTAGATTCTCGCCATCAATCGGGGACAAGCTAACGCCGAGAATACCCATCAGGGAATACGCGCGATCTGCTGGAATCTTTGTAGCGCGATGCTCAATCCACGTAACGCGTTCATGAACATTAAAGTTAGACAACGGTTCGCCCTGCAGCGCTGAACTAGGGATGCCTGTGACTTCACGCACTTCTTTTGCCAACGACAACTTATCACCAAGTTTAGTCCCTTCCTTGGAGAAGAACTCTACCGTGGATGGTGCAAGAAGCTCTTGTAGTGTCCACCCACGGGTAAACCATCTGGTTTTTTTGAGAATAAATTCAGGCGTCTGCTCGCTGCGCACAAGATCGCTACCAACCGGAGTGCATGGAACATGGCGCGAATAGAAGTAGCGCTGCATCGTGCTGCTGTACCATCTTGACATAGTGTAGAGAATAGAGAGCATCCAGATCCAAAAAAGCCATCGTAAACCGTGGTCGCCTGAGGTCACTGGTAGAGGTTGATCAGAGACATCCGATAGATATACATAACACCGAGCTGCATTGCGGTACCAGCGAAACATCGATCTGATCGAGAAGGCGAGTTCAGCCTTGTTAGCCTTGTCGATGCAGCACGTGTCGACCCAGAAGTACTGGAGGTTGTCGCGCCGCGCCTGTTTTCCGCAGAAGAGAATCTTCTCGTAGCCTAGCTTGGTCTTGCCATTCCCTGTTTGGAGGTCTGCAAAGGTCACCTCGTCCTCATCTGCTCCCCAGGTGTGTGAAAGTATCGCGTAGGGGGGTACATCGCCATCGTCAAAGCTGTGGATGCTAAGCTCTCCGCTTTCGCTGTACTGCAAGAGACGCATAGGTTCGTGTGGGTGTATAGTAGGTATATGCGATGAGAACGGGACTCGAAAGGCTGAGCTTTGTAGCCTGATCGTGCGGGCGTTTGCTACTTGCTAGCTGCTTTCTTGCTACCGGTAGATGGTCAGCATACAGGGAGAATGAGGAGTAGATGCACCAGCTCAGATACCAGCAAGACCCTGCGATGCGTCAAGATGTCGCGAGCTGAGGCTGCTAGCTTTCGCTATATTCATGGCTTAGTGGTGAAGCCTGTGCGAAGCCCCAGGCGGGGTAAGGCGTGACTCCATGCATGTGCAGTGCACCGCTCGCAAGGCTGAACCGTGTCTGCATCGAAAGCTGCAGAGGATATGGAGCCCTGGCGCAGTCCGAGACTAGACATCAGTAGCAAGAACTTCACAAGGGCCTTCTCCTCCTCTCCAATCAAGTACTGCTGACTCTGAGCCTGCTCTGCTCGCGAGCGTCGTCCAAGCCTACGGTGGATCAGAGTTGAGACGGGAACATTGCCGTGCTCTGATCGAGCAGCACGCGTGTCACGCACACCGTCAGGCAGACGTTGCGCGAGCGCCTGGCTGGCTGGATCCATGTTCGTGGTTGTGGTGACTGAGGGATACCTCGAGCGAGAAGCCAACAAAATCCACAACCAGTTTACTTCTAAGAATAGCTGGCAACTGCACGCTTGAGCAGCACCCGGTGGAAGCTTCCGGAACTCTGCGTCACAGCTTCAGCTGTTTTGGTATAGCGCAGGTGTACATTGCAGGCCGCTAAGCGTTCGCAATCCTGCTATGTCAGCGTTCCAAGTCCTCTCGCTAAACGCGAAAGACTGGCACACCGAGCCGGACAAACTCGGAGTGCACCTGAACAGAGGCTGCATGTCTTTGTATAATATGTATAGCTTCTTTAGTTCACTATGCATTATATAGAACCTCCGAATAGGCAAGCTACGCTTTTATAAAGGGTAGAACAGGGGTATATTGTTATCACAATTTTAATCCTTAACACGAAAGATTCATTTACGCCCCTTAGATCGCTGTAATTTTGCTATTTAAGGCCTGCGATAGACAAAGATAGATCTAAAGAACATATAAACGTGTACTTAAAACTAAAAGTCTCTGCGGCTTGGGTGTAACGTGCTTGAACAATGTTGGTGGTTCGTTGCGGAGGGATGTTCGACCCATAGGGATGGACGTTAGTTCGGTTCTGCTTTTCATTCGGTCTCTTTTTGCTCGCCTGAAGCTGAACTAAATCTGACGCGAATCCAACAGTTTCTTCCAAAACGTCGCAAAACCCCTGCTTCTGTAAGAGCTCTGTAATGCGTTCGCATGCAACATCGACTATCATGCCTCGAAGCCCTTGGTCGATTGGCGGCGTGGAGCCATATACCTCCGCAACAGCCTGCGGAAAGTCGTCCATGTTCCAGCAGGTTTTAACCGATTCCTTGAATTTCTAGCTAGCGACTGACTTCAACGCTGGAATATCATACTTTTCTGCTATGCTGTACACTTTAACGTTGAACACCATCGGCGAAGCAACACCAGCCGCGCTCCCGCCAGCATCATAGTCAAATGAGTACAAGAACCGAAGCATTGCTTCAACAGTGGAGACATCGTCGTCGTTTAGAGGGATGATCCCCTCCACTGACTCCTACAATCGCATTCTTAGAAATAGCCTTGCGATAATCATAATACGTACCTTCCACTTCCCTTGGAAAGCATTCAAGAAAACCTCGACTGAGCAGATAGCACGATTTTATGGATTCGAAATTCTTTTCCAGCACATGTTATGGTACCATCGGATAGCGTTGGAGAATCATAATAACTTGAAGTATTAAAGGATACGTAACTGCTTCGATAATCGGAACAAAATAATACTCACTCTTGGAGATTGAGTAGTAAATTTTCGAAAGGTTGGTTCGTCTGCATTTTGATTGAGGTATGATAGCAAGAGGTCTGGCTTGAGAGCTTCTATAATATGGAACACATCAAAGATCTGTGTGCGAAGTAATTGTAGAGCGACAATCAGGTCTGATTCCGGTTAACTAGATCCAGCTCTTAGACTTGGCGTTTGCAACGCATAGCCGCTTGCGCTCGTAGTTCTCGCACGCCTCCCTGCATAGTGCGTACGTATCCCACTCCCGTACCGATCTTCTTCAATGCAAGCTTTGCCATGATCGGCCTAGTCATCACAAGTGTTATTGTTCTATTGGCTTAAAATCTTTTGAAACTGCTTGACTGCCAATGTACACCAACTAAAGTTAATTAGGGAAAGACTACGCTGTGAAATAAGCCTTGGTAATCACTGGGTCATGGTTTCCGCTGTTAGTGCGGGGTCGCTTGTCGTTGCTCACGCTGTTACTGGGGCCAAGAGCCACGGACTTGAATTGAGGCCGAACCAACACCAAATCACCAAGACTCCACACCTGATTTAGCCGATCGTCGTGTGGTGTCCTAGTGTACATGATAGGCCACAAAGTATGCATCATTATGACCAGAGGTACTGTCATTAGCGATTGCAGCTTCACCCTTGCAGACAGCATCACAAAACCCCGTCATCAGAAAATCGTGGATTGACCAATCACATCAATCATTCTGCAGCTGACTCCCTGCGCTAGGCTACATACGAAATGTGGGGCTGCGTGTATGAGTGAAGCCGCAATCACTAGTGAAAGTACATACATAATAGCTACTGTGGTGCAAAAGCTACCGAGATCGGGCTGCAAGACTACATACATACCGCAATACAGCACCCAAACATAAGCATGCCATAATTGAGTATTAGTCATACACAGCCTTTGGCAGCTGTTTTCTATACGAGGGTTTCATCACAATCCTAGCGATCCAGTCCCTATAGCCACGGCTTCAGTTAAAGCTTTGGCTGTTGAGACAGGAAGGTGATGCAGAGGGTAGTTCAATGTTGGACTGGTGTATCACGCGTCCATCTGCAGTACTGATACAACATGTTATCTATGGAGCACCAGCGAATTTAAATGCAAGGTCAATCAATCCGATACTCCCGGCTGCATACCCCGCAGACAGGAGCCACTTAGAATCTACCACGTTATCAAACAATGATAACTAGTTGCTAGGCATAACGAACTACAGGCGAAGGATTGCAGAACGAATAAATGACACGAAAACTCAAATCCTCGTTTGAGTACCACTTTCCAAAGGATATCAAGAACAAGCGAGGAGTAGTAGTAGTAGTAGTAGTAGTAGTAGTAGTAGTAGTAGTTAGTAGTAGAGAATGCACTTAGGTCTTCATACCCAGCCTAGCTCTTTGCTCTTTGTGTCCAAGATACCCAACGCTAAACTATCGTAGTGTATCAGCAGTGCTCTAACCTTGGGTTTCCGGACCAACTGCATGTTCGTGGCAATGGCTCGGCTTACGCAATATCTAAGGCCGTTGTCTTGTTTGGGAGTGATCGAGAAAGCGTGAAAAGCTGCGATAGGGAGATCTGAGGTATCCTAGAAATGCTTGCAGCCTCTGCTGGATTTCTCTTCAACTAGCTCCTTCAGACCGACAACCTCGTACTTGTCGGCCAATTCGTACATTTTGGCGTGTGTTAGAAGTTATGACGAAGGTCCAATGAGGTTTGGTATAACGCAAGTCCCAGAGAATTCTCTGCACGTGTACCTCTCGCAAGCTTGTGGGCTACACTCGAGGTGAAAGCCCGTACAATCTCTCATGCAGGTGGTAAGCGTCGCTCTGTGAGTCTTTTGATACGCCGTGCAAGCTCCAACTCTTGTTCTGGGCTGAGTTTTTGTTGGTTGGTTGCCTGAGCCTCCCTTGACAGATGAATACCTTGGTGTCTTCGGGACAACGTAGATCGCTGCACACTATAGCGATCAGCACTTTCTTGATACATAAAAGATTCTCCTAATTTCAGCGATTCGATTGCTGTAAGCGCGTTGTCAATAGCTCCCATGGTGGTGGAATTACGACGCGTCAAAGTTGGGGCTAAGTTTCGTGTTCTAGTGTTCCGCGTGCGTTGCGTGCACAGGCACGGTAACGGGGCTCACCACCTACATACTCCACAGCGATATCTGTAGTAGGAAATATTATATAGGCATGGTATATCACTCTATCAAAAAATCACGGTAATAGTTATTGCGTGAGGCTCTATAGCCTCAAATCGTAGCACTGTTTGGTGTTCAAAGTGGCCGCTTTCGCCGTCACACACGATGGCAGTCTTGGCAACCGCGCCGCTGCGGAGTCCAAATGACCAGCTGCTCAACACGACAATAACCGTTCCTCGACTTCACAATGTCACGCGACGTGTTGCCATATGTTCGCTGCAGGTCTTCCTTGTGCGACATCATTACTTCACGCCGTTCTCCAGTCTTGCAGATCTTTCCTTGACACCAACCGGCAGGAAGCCCTTCGTACTTGCGCCCTGCCCCGTCACCCATTTGAATCCCACCCAGATGCAAAGAACGTACGCATTGAAAGCAGAAATGATATTAGGAAATACGTAGAGCAGACCTTCAAACAGTAGGGTCAGTTTCAAGAAGTCTGTTCAACTTACACAACTACCTAGTGTCGTATTGCGAAATGGTTTCGAAGCAAACAGCGAACAAGCGAAAACGGACCTCGAACACTCTCGCCCGAAACAAGCGACGTCGAACAACACGGCTCGCCTACACCAACGCATCTGAACCCTATCGAGGACATGGGCCTGCTAGCGAGAAGTTCTGGGCGGCGAGAAGGATCCTGAAGGACAATGGGACCCGTTATCTGGTCGAATGGGAGGGCATCGACCCAGCGACGGGACGTCTGTATGAGCCGACATGGGAACCGCACGACTTCGTCACTCCAGCCCTAGAAGCAGAATGGAAGGAAATCATTGCTGCTCGAAGCACCGTTACCGGACATACCCACGGTCAAGCTCAATCGTTTGGAGAAGCCGATAGTCAAATACAGTCCTTGGGCGGGTCGCCAGGATTGGTGACGGTTGGGCAACCTCCAACGAAGAGGTTACCTCAATGTCAAAGCGCCTCGACAGCTTTTCCGCAGCAAAAGCATCAGTCACGGCGCAGTTCCAGTTCGCTCTTCCTAAAGTCACAGCAAAGCACGTGTGTGTTAGAGGATAGAAACTCGCATACCTGCGGTATCATACCTGCTAGGCAGGACAACGTCACTTTGACAATCAATACTACGACTACACTGAAAGAAACATCAGGCTCGAACCAGTGGAACCCAGCAATCGTGAACGGTGCTGGCGATATGGATGAAGTGATATGATCTTTCCTCAAAATGCTAGCATGGCTTACTGACTGCATTTACAGAATTTGGGCACTACAGATCCGGCCGCGCTGGGTTTACGACACAGTGTGCATGCTCAATCTCCTGCTTGCATCAAGAAGATCAACAGTGTTGGCTTTATGCAACTGTCGTCGCACCCTGATCCTGTAGGAAAGCTCCAAGGCACAGCATGCAAGGAAAGTGAGATTCCGGAGAGCCCAAGTCAGGATAGGCTGGAGATATTGGAGCTGGCTAGGCAGGAGCCACAAAAAGCCTATGCTTGTACGCTTGAGGAGAAAGGTTTATCTCCGTCGGCACTGTTGGCAGCTAAGAAGCCCTTGGAGGCACAGGAACCGCGAGAAATGCACAGCGAGCCGGAGATCCTAGCATCCGCGCCTATCGCACCTACCAACGAGGCTATTTACGGAGAACCAGAATTTCGGACTGAAGCTGAAGCGGTATTTTACACAGAGACGGGGAGGGGGCCTGTTGTCAAAAAGGCTGTATCTGTTCTACTTCCAGGCGAAACGGTCGAGAAGCAAAGCAAGGCTCTAGTGAGCTCAGAACAATCACTGCGACGACTTTCCCAAGAGTGCGGAACGTATGAAAAGGGTGTGATGCGACATGCACTGGCTGAGCCCGACAAAAGCGATGGACCCACAAGGCTTTTAGCACTTTCCGAGCAGTCAACATTACCATCTCTAAAACACGGTGGATCCATCTTACAACACCTTAAAATGCGTGCATGTACTTCACCTGTTTTGGCAAAAGATCGTAGATCGATTGCACCTTCAGCGTCATCCTCACAGCTAGGATCGAGGCTAGATCCTAAGACCACAGCCGGGCGGACATTCACCAGGCCGGATGTGAATATACCAGCCAGGGACAGAAGTGCCAAAACATGCTCTTTGCCATCAGAGGCTCTAGCAGAGTGTGCACGCTATACTTCGGAACAGACTAGCCCCTCGGAGACTGAAACTGGTGGTCTTCCGACTCTGCCGGCTTTAAACCGAAGCGTCAGAAGTAGTTCACCCACCGACCAGAAAAGGTCGCAGAACATGGAGCTTGCACAGCAGCACATGCAGTCTCCGGTAGGTTGTCGCAGGTATAGCCAGCGATGGACTACTCGGTCCCACGAACCACCTCAGGGTGACATCCCCTTATTGCAATGTCGTGATGCTTGCCCAATGGGGCCCCAAAGCAGATCACGCGGCTACGACCTTGCATACATACTCAACGGCGAGCCTAGCCTCAATTGTAGCCAGAGAATCCACCAAGGCCCCCATAATCTCATCCAAAGTGCAGACACCGTTAGCAGTGCCGTTACTGGCGAAGAACGCAAGTATCAATCGCCTGCATCGAGCGGGGAGACGGGCAGCCATGATCTATCACACGCATTGTATCCAAGAGAGCAGTTATCTCCGCCTGCTCATCGTCCTCCATCTCCGCTTGCGCCTGTACCTGTTCACGAGAGAGACGCATCTAACCAAGACAGTCAAGTAACGCATCCCATTCAAACCCTACCTTTATCATGCCACAACCTACGCGTGTATAACCAGATATCGCAGAGTATGGATCATGTCACTGTTGACCCTTCTGCAGTAGCGTCCGAGGCTCACCAACAGAGAGCGCAATCATCTCGGTTCCCATTGTTAGCTATTCCAACTGCTGCGTTGCTAATACCATCGCTATCTTGGCATAAACCAGCAGCAAGTTCCCTGAAAACTGAGAAGCAGAAGATGTTAGACGGAGAGCCTTTCATGCCCTACAGCTCTCAGTTATTTGAGGATCGAAGGCAATGCGCAGCTGTACTAAACCGCCTCAACAACACCATCGATGCGGTACCCGAAGCTGCGCAACGTATGCACGAGCGCTATTTCAGAGCGGTTATAGAGGCAGCGTGGACTCAGCCTCGTTGCAGAGACAGTCCAGCCGGCGGTCGGCTTGGTAGTAATACATACGTTGCTACACCGTTTCACTGTGACTACGGCTACAACGTCTCTGTTGGCGACAATGTCATAATTGGACCTAAATCCAAACTACTTGATTCAGCCAAGATTACCATTGGAAGAAACACCAGGATTGGCGCATGTGTTACCATCACAACTTTGAAAACACCAACTGATATGAAAGCATTGAAAAGAAGCTACGGCCTTGAAGTTGCTAAAGATATCTACATCGGCGAGAACGTCTATATCGGTGATTGCTGCGTCATAGGAGCCGGAGTGCGAGTTGGTAACGGTGCCATTGTTCGTTCTGGGTCTGTCGTCGTTCATGACATACCACCAGACTACATCGCCTATGGCAATCCAGCCAACATGTGCAAGGCCAATTAGATGCTCTATCATCGTTGGAGCAGCTCGAGATGGTATTCGGTGTATTAAGCCTACTACAGTATCTGTCACCATCCATCCCAAGGCCCATAGGATAACGACTGTTCTGGAAACACATGTCGCTTTAGCTTGCTTGGCTAAGCGCAGAAGCAGATGGGGAGCCTGGATCGTTGCTAGTAAGGGAAAGTCTTTTTCCTGTATCCTGCCATCATCATAGCCAAACGATTTTCTTAGTAACAACGTGCATCCTCTGTAGACGTGATTTTGGGAAACAGTCTGTATTAGCTCGTCTACTTACTTACCATACTCAATATCGCTGTTGCCCGTACCTCAACCGCACTAACAATCTACTATGTTGTACAGCCTCCCTCTGCACTTATCACAGTCTGACAGCGCTTGTTCATACTGCTGACGTGTTAGACGAAGTCTGACACTTCCAATGTCGTCCATTCTGTCCCTATACACTGCCTTAATTCGGAAAGAGTATGTGAATGCTTCCTAGCTACTCTCTACTTTCGTAACCGCCATACATTCTCTATAGGACTGAGGTCGGGCGAGTTAGCAGGCCAGTACATCTTATCTACACCATTCAAATCATGGACCTGCTTGGTGAGCTTCGCAGAGTGCGGAGAGGCACCATCTTCCATCAGGATGGCATGCCGCGAACAAGTCTCTGGATGTTAAGTTACCCAGTACATGAAATAGTATACTCAGAGAAGCATCCTTACCCTGTACACTTTCCCTGTCAGCCCAGCCCACCCCTCCATCACCACCATTGGTCCTTCATAAAGCGACGAAAGGCTTCCATGGATGGTTCGTGAAACATGCGTCCTCAATTTCGGCACAAGGCAAGACCGATCGTACTTCTCTCTCTGTCGCCGGATGACATAAACTCTTCCAAACCCTGCGGTCGGAAACGAGGACTCGTCGGTCCAAACAACGCGATCTCAGTTGAACGCAACCATCAGGGTTTTTCGACTTACCTGCACACCTTCTAGTCAAGCAACCTCAGTGTACAGTACGTGTCAGTAAGCAGCATCAAGGATAGCACGTGCAATCATTAGCAAAATGCATAATAGCTAATCTTCGTTTTGATAAACCCTATCATTTTCTGTGGGCTACACCGAGAAAAGGTAGTTAGTAGATAGGAACAGGACTAAGTATATAATTCTATCGAACAGATTATGCTTTAATATAAGGCGTGTCACCTAGTGGAAGATGTTCTTACCTAGGAGTTACGTATATTAAGTCTTTGCATTACACACTATGCTCCCGCAGACGAATCTTTTGTGTGTTTATTTTACACAAATGGCCTGGACGTGCAAGATGATCCCCTAAAGCCTGGAGTAGTGATTTAAACGGTTCATAGATAGATAGTAACGAAGGCTAGCGGGGGCTTGTGAAACTCGAGGTCCGCAAGTCGCCCCAAATAGAATAGCGTATTACTTAGCTACTATGACCTACCAGATTGCAGATCACAGCTACGCACGGCCGCTCGATCAGCTAGTGTACCCATCCAGCTACGAGCTGCGATACAGCTTCGTCCTTCTCTGCGTCGGCTTTGGCTGGTAGGCCCTTTGAACTGACCAATCTCCTTGTGCAACTCGTGTCGCATATCTCGACTATGATAGTATAAGAGAGGTTCCTACGAGCAAAAGCCAATCCTTAGGTTTTTTGCAGCTGCGCTAGTGCAGTGGGTCTGCTATCTCTGTAAACAGTTATCACTATTGTCTTGATGGTATTGGCAAGTGTTGAATCTGCACGCTTTGTTGAGACATTCAAAGAAACCAAGTAGTTAACTAGTTAGGCCTCGTTACACTCTTGAAAGGGCCATAAAAACTGTTGAAAGTAGGGTTGCATTGATCGACTAACTACTGACTACATGATCGAGACTGGGTATATGCACAACTCTTCCCAATGTTTGCATGCACGTGTGTATTGGTAACAGTCACAAGATCACTTACCCCGCACTGAACGACATTCAATGGACCTATAAGGTGACACATCAAACACTGCCAAAACATCACTGATCTGCGTGCTAGACGATCGTGACTGTGCTTATTGGCTAAATGAACATGCGATATTGATGGACTACTTAATTGTCCAAACACGCCGCGGAGCTGGTTATTCGCTTCGTGTTAGCTGCTGGTTGGACGATAGAAAGGATCGCTGCCATAGCATGGTCTGTTACTTGGCTTGATAAAAATTCACTTTACATTTAAAGGGACCATGAAACTCACAGAGATTTTCCTTTCTAGGTAAACCCTTCGATTTTCATGTAATTACTCTTGTTTGCACTACGACGTATCAGGAAGTCCACTTGAGATCTGTCAGTTGGAAAGCGTAAGCTGCTTACTTGCAAGCATTCGCGTCAATACGGCACAGTTCGTATCATGCACCGAGCCGACGTACTCTTCAAAGTGCTTACGGTCGCGATCAAGTCATCCCACGCTCAACCTCGCTTGTAGCGCGGGATGGTCAAGCAGCCTTACCGCCCAGGTTCGGCCGCTTCTGCACCGCAATCGCTGCTATCGGCCATTGCATACATACCACTGGCCGTTTCCAGAGCAGGCAAGCGTGGGAGAAGAAAGTTACAGCCACTCTCCAAGATGACTCACGCAAGTGCATTATCCTCCTAGTGTGCGTGTGCGCTGACGGATCAGCGCTGACGCTAGGCCTTATCTACTGCTAGGTCAGCAAGCTTATCTGTATTCGACTATTTGCGAGCATGAGCTGTCGCAATACCCATATTCAGTTAGCATCGCTATTCCCGATAGATAGAGGTTCCTTGTGCGTTAGTTCTAAGGTACGGTTATGTACATAAACGCATCACGTTCTGGTTCATATGTAACTATTGTTATTACTAAGTGGGCAACCACGTGACTATACATGGTATTCCTAGGCTTACAAGAACACCAAGCGTACGACCCTTCGGAATCTATGAAGGTGCCGTTTCGCTACCTCGGTCATCGGTATATAATTATAGTTAGTGAAAAGTTCTATTATCAAGTTGGCGCAGTGTTAGTAAGGGCGCCGCGGGTCTGAATCTGGCTGCGGAAACTCGACTTATTAATAGAAACTGCAGAAAAGTCGACAGGCTTAGCGCATGAGAGGAGTGTGCAGGCAGATGCAACAGGTGACTGTTTCGAGTGCTAGTAGCAAGCCCACTTGAACTCTCGAGCAAAGTGTGATTCATGGCCATCGAGTAGGAACAGTCGATTACGGGGCAGCAATTGTAGTAGTAGTTTCCGGTATAAAGACGCGATTTAGCTACTCAACATTATTATCATTTGAGGTCCAGCCATTGATCGAAGTGGTTTAGTACCAGTCTCGGTTGGAAACTATCTTAACTGGAGGTTCTGGTCCTTGACGATGATTACTGGCGATAGCTTGGCGCTAATAGCAGATACGCAATTGATGATCGAAATCCACCCTTGAATCTCTGGTGCTTGCACGTAGCCTTTACGTTTAGTAGTTGAATTAACTACTCGAGAGTTATTATAGACCCCTATGGTAGCGCTAATCTTATCTAAACTGTTGATATTATCGATGTCTTGAAAATAAAGGCGCGACTTAGCATGCTCGAATAGCTCAAAGAAATCCATAATAGCCTTTAGTGTGGCTGTCTTAGCTCTTGCTGCTTTAGTATTCCTTCAAATAGTCGAGCGGACGCGCGGGTTGCGGCGTGAGAAGCTAAAGATCCAATGCTGGCTTAGAGGGGTAGTGTCACTGTTCTGCTTGGGGACATGGATTACTGTTTGCCGAAGCGCATGACTAGATGGGCGCGTGCAACTACCTTCACGAAGGATCCAATCGACAAGCTTATCCTCTTGTTCCGGTGATAATCGCTGCTCGTAGTGGTGAGTTAGCACGTGTTGAACACGCCCAGCAAGGCGATGGCGTCATGTTGATCGTGAATACTGTACGCAGTAGCAGCAGCTTTCTGCGATCAATGAACACAATAACGATAGTTAATCCCGAATAGCAGATTAAATAGCAACTCTAGAATTAGCTATATTGAGCGCGCTATGGTGGTAGTGGGCAGCTTCAACAGTCAAAAATAGTCGGTGTTGGCGGAGTAGTTGGGGTGGCCACTTCTGGGTCTGGCCACTTTTACGTGCCTAGACTTGAACCTAGGCAATCATCATTTGAATCCGCTCAGCCGGATATCCTCTAGATTGACAACTCACACCACTACGTATTACTCTGCGGGGTATGTTCGGCTGCGTCAGCTGATATAGGAGGATTCCAATGATGTACAAGTATGCTGTTTCTCCGCACAGACATTATTTCCTTGCATATCTAGGTGCGCTTCTTGAAGCATGTGCCAGCACACTCTGACGAATCTTTCTGCTTTGTATTGAGCCCAACTATTTCCTTCTTTCACCTTTCGTCGCATAGTTTCCCCGTTTAGAATCAACCCACATCCATAGCTTCACACGAAAATCTCAAAGGACGCTGAATTGAAATTATGAATACATTTGATCAAAAAAGGCGGGGAGGAGACTGGAGGGGATTTGGACGAGGCAATTCAGGGCAAGGCGAAAAAGGAAAAAATCAGACCGGCTCCAGGCCGTGCCGCTACTTCAAGAACAGCCGTTGCAAGTATGGCTCAGCATGCAAATACTCCCATGATCTGCCTTCCATAAATGGAAATGAGATACATAATTCTAGAAGACGACCACCTCAGCCTGAGGATACTCCTGAGCAACAACAAGCTAGAGTGGACTACAATACATGGCGCCGACTCATCAAAGTTCCACCTATTAGAAACGATAAGAGAACAATGGAACAGCTTTGGAGTGGTGGCCTTGCCATCTTGAGTGGCGACAATCTAGAATGGCAGCAAATGTTGCCACGCGATTTGGACAGCGACGACTATCGAGGCCGGGAACATATCAAGGCCTTGCTAGAGCTGCGGTCAAGCCCAGGAAAAGAGCAGGAACTCATTCCTATCGCGTGTTCATTTCTCTCTGTCATCACTCATCGGGCTTTCTTGGACTGCCTCTCCGTTGATACCTCTGTCGGAGCGCTCTACAATTTCGTGAGTGGCACGAATGGAAACCGCGCCATTCCTTTCTTCGAACATCTTTCTCAAACACTCGTAGAGTCCCACCTCACATCCGCCAACTCTTCAGAAATGATTCAGAATACTTTGCAGACCATGCCGGTTGCACTTCGAGAGCTTGTTAGGAGAGAGCCTCGCGCTCGATTCAACGACAACATCACGTCTTTACTCGATTTAATGAAAGAAGCTACCCAAGTAATCGTTGGAGATACTCGAGATTTAATCATGCCGATCACGCTGGGTCGGATCAATGAGATTCGAGCCATTGTCGCACGAGCAAATGGACTTCTTGCGCAAGAAGAAAATAACGCGCATGCAGAAATGGTCACCAAGTCGACATATCCTCGCAATCTGATAATGCCACAAGATCGCCACGACAACGACAAGCCTGACATTGTTAATGTCAAGATTTTTCCAACTTCTGAGGAAATCATGAGCGATGCAATCGACTTTTTGCCATCCACCGATCTCGACCAGCCTCATTTCCTTCAAGACAAGGTTGAAAGACATATCGACACATTCTTTCGTCTTCTTCGTCACGATACTTTCGGAGAACTGAAAACGGCTCTAAGATTGTTCTTGCACACTATACAAAACGATCCGGCTTGTATCGATAATCCAAAGCTCAGTCTTGGAGATTTTCGGGCTTTCCACTACCCGGATGCGTACATCAGCTATATCTCATTCGACCGCCGTCATGGTCTCGAAACAAGTATATCGTTCAAACAACTTCCACAGCTACGTAGAAAATCAGCGAAAGAGAGACAAAAATGGTGGCAAGACTCAAAAAGACTTGGCGAAGGTATCCTTCTCTCATTTATCTCGGTTCGCAATGGTCAAGTTCAGCACTTGTTCTTCACTGTCAGCAGAAGAGATACAGACACGAAGCACGACCGGAGCCTTACCAAGGAAGATTATCGGTGCACCATTACTTTAAAGCTGGTAGCCGTTGACCAGACACAGGTAGCTTTGGCCATTTCTTTGAGCTGCAAAAACACTCGTGGACTTCTTCTAGAGTTCCCCGGTATCATTCCCGCCACATTTGTACCAATCCTCGAGAACTTGAAGGAAATGCAAAAGCACAGCAGGCTGCCGTTCAAGGACTGTATCCTTCCTGACCAGATCGAGAATGTGCAGGACCGAAAAGGCGGAAACACTCTTGACATACCGGCCCCGCTTTACACTCGTCGTCCTGAATTTGCTTTCAATTTGAAGTCTATTTTCAAGAAAGACGAGGTAAGAAATGGCGATATCTACGTGCGGTCGACCTCTTCTCCTGATGACACAGCTATGATTGACATGATTGAAGCTCGCACCGGACTAGATCGTGGCCAAAGTGAGGCCTTGATATCAGCTTTGACGCGTGAATTTGCGTTCATTCAAGGCCCCCCTGGTACTGGAAAGTCGTATCTCGGCGTCGAATTGATGAAGATTCTAATGGACTGTAAATCAAGAGTAGACTTAGGGCCTATCATTGTGGTATAAGTCGAATTTCCAATACTTCCATCCTTGGCTAAAGATGGACAAGGTGCTATACCAACCACGCGCTTGATCAGTTTCTAGAGCATCTAATCGAAAATGGAATCAAGAAGACTATTCGCATCGGAGGCCAGAGCCATTCCGCCATTCTGGAAGAACACAACCTTCGGAAGATTTCTCAAATGGAAGGCAAGACAAGATCCGAAGGGTTCCTCCTTCACAAAGCATACGAGCATTTGGAACAAGAGTCCGAGCAAATCAAGAAAAATCTAAGGCGACTTCATGGCGTTTTCAAACATGCCAACTGGTCGAATTTGCAGTATCACCTCATGCGCAGGCACCCGCAGATTCACAAGCAGTTTAGTCGATATGATGAAGACGGCTTTGAGCGTGTTGGTAAGCCTCTTTTTGATGCCTGGCTTCCTCCCAATAGCGGTGATGGCGCAGCGACACAAGATGTCGAGATCAGACTGGCGGCCACCTTGATCAACCACGTTCTACAGAAGGCGGCAGTCAACGTTCATTCCTTGTCACAGCAAGAAAAGCAAACGCTTATACATTTCTGGTGTCAAGAGATCTATGATAATGCTCTTGATGATCTTTACGAGAGCGTGAAGATAACTGACTCTGCGTATGGGCAACTAGCAAACATTCATGACGAGGTTGACCGACGAGTCCTTCAAGCGGCGGACGTCATTGGAATCACTATCACGGGTCTGGCGAAACGAATTTCTACTCTGCGGCATGTGCGATGCAAGATTGTGATCTGCGAGGAAGCTGGAGAAGTCATGGAACCGCACATGCTATCTGCGTTGCTCCCGACGGTGAACTGCTCCAGAAACAGCCCTATACCAGCACAAGCATGCTAACGAAAACATCCATAGGTTGAACATCTGATCCAAATTGGAGACCATCAGCAACTTCGTCCGCAGATAAACAACTATGGTCTTTCGCTCGAAAGCAATCAGGGCAGCCTGTACCAGTTAGATCGGAGTCAGTTTGAAAGGCTTTCTGTGGGGCAATCTGGGCGACCTAGGATTCCAGTAGCCCAGCTGAACATGCAGCGAAGAATGCGTCCCGAGATATCGAAATTAATACGGGAAACTATCTATCCCAGATTAATCGATCACGATGCCACCATCGACCTTCCAGATGTCGTTGGAATGCAGAAAAATGTGTTCTGGTTGGATCATGACCACTTCGAAGAGGGACAAAACTCCGAGATGCACCATAAGTCTCATTCAAACATTTGGGAAGTGGAAATGGTGCATGCTCTGATCCGCCACATCGTTCGGCAGGGTGTCTACAAAAGCAGTGATATCGCTGTCTTGACACCGTACACTGGACAGCTGCAGAAGCTTCGCTCGGCAATGAGAAATGACTTTGAAATCGTACTTAGCGACCGAGATCAGGAAGCACTTGATAAGGACGGATTTACAGAAGGCGACGCAAGTCCTCAACATGAAGCCGCGGAGCTATATTCAACGCACCGTAAGACCGTTTTGGAAAAGAAGACACTCAGTGATCTCTTACGAATTGCGACTGTCGACAACTTCCAAGGTGAAGAGGCCAAGGTCATCATCGTCTCTCTTGTCCGAAGCAACAATGAGAAGAGGGTCGGATTTCTCAGGACGACAAATCGAATCAACGTTCTTCTTAGTCGAGCTCAGCACGGAATGTACCTAATTGGTAACTCCGACACATATTCAAACATTGAAATGTGGCAGAAAGTTATCAACATGCTTCGGATGGCTGACGCTGTGGGAACAAGTTTGGGGCTTAGCTGCCCACGCCATCCCGAAACCGAGATCAAAATTCACGAACCTCATGACTTTCCCAAAGTTAGCCCAGAAGGAGGATGTCGCCTCGCATGTCCCTGGCGCTTGCCTGAATGTGGCCATATGTGCCAGTCCAAATGTCATTCGGAAAGTATGCACAACGTGTTTTTGTGTACACAGCCTTGTCAAAGGCTGCATGAACCATGCAGACATGCCTGTCAGAAGCCGACGTGCGGGGAGGATTGCGGAAAGTGTCACATCAAACTGAACAATGTCCCGCTTCCTTGCGGGCATTTCAAGGATAACGTATCCTGCTTTCAAGCACAGAATCCCGGTATACTCCGCTGCTCCATTTTGGTTCAGAAGCTTGTCCCGTCCTGCAAACACACGGTGAAAGTGACCTGCTCAGTCGACGTGACATCAGAAGACTATCGTTGCTCAAACCCTTGCGCTACAACATTGCCCTGCGGCCACCTTTGTCCAGGAACATGTAGTAGCTGTAACCGTAACGATACTGAAGGCAAAGTTTCTATCTCACACCAGAAATGCACCAGACCATGCGGACGCCGATTTGGCACATGTAACCATTTGTGTCAAAAGGCTTGCCACGGAAAAGACTGCGGTCCTTGCTTCTCTCCCTGCGAAGTCCGCTGCCGGCATTCTAAATGCACCTTGCGCTGCCATGAGCCATGTGCACCATGCATTGAGAGATGCACATGGGAATGCCAACATCGTGGGCGATGCACCATGTAAGTCTAGCATCTGCTCGAGTCCGTCATTCCAAGTCAATTGAACCGATGCTGACCTTTATTCCATTTTAGGCCGTGTTCTGCGCCTTGTAACAGACTGCCCTGTGACCAGCGCTGCTCGAGGTATCTTTCTTGTGGCCATCAATGTCCAGGTATATGTGGCGAAGAATGCCCCGCCGACTACTGTCACTCCTGTGGCTCCAAGCCAGATGCCAGAGTTGATCTTCTCGAAATGAAAACTTACAGTGAAATCAATGTCGACGAGACCCCGATTGTCGTTCTCGGATGTGGGCATTTCTTCACGGCGGAATCGCTGGATGGTCTCGTCGGTATGAGCGAAGTCTACACTGCTAACATGTTCGGAGACTTCGCCGGCCTGGCGGATATCAGCAGTTCTCTAGCAACGAAGATACCCCAGTGCCCAGACTGCCAGCGGCCAATCATGCAGTACATCACTCAGCGATACAACCGAGTCATCAACAGAGTGGTGATGGATGAAATGTCAAGAAGATTTCTGATTAACGGCAAGAATGAACTTCAAGAGTTGAAAAAGGAGGTTGAAGATCTTGAATCTGGTCTTGAAAAGTCGAGGAACGACATTAAGAACTCTACAGAGGATGTGGTGTCAAAGATTCGAACCCGATACCATGAGTCTAAGAAGCTACAAAGAAAGATTGAAGATTTCCTCCGGAGCGTTGCAGATCGCCACCAACCAGCTCATAAGCTTCACGAAGCTATCGTCCACGCCAGTAGTAACAGCATTGTAGGAGATCCTGGATCTCTCACCAATGCACTCGGTTCGCTTAGCATCCACCAAGACGATATCCCCCCCGTCGAACGAGACCGGAGAGTGACTTTTGGTGGCCGCATTCTTCAGATCAAGGCAGACTCTATCGTGCTGGAAGATAGGTTCCAGATGACAAAGAAGCTCAGATCAAGTCCATCGACTGAAAATATGAAACTCCCGGGGGGTGATCCAGAAAATCTTACCCAAGCTTTCATGAAAGCTTGCGCCGCGCTGATGAATGATTGCGTGGTTGAGAAACTTCCCAAACTCGCAGCGGAGGCTTCAATCTACTTCGCAACGAACGCGCACCTCTATCGTTCATCTGGGCTGTCTGGAGAGGACAGAAAGGAGGCAAATAAGTATGTAGAAAAGGCGAAAGAGTTGCTAAAGCAAGCTTATAAACTATGCGAGCAACCCTTTCAAAATGCAGAACAGCTGAAAAATTGCGTCAAAGAAAACATTGAGATTCTTGGAAAGGAGTGGTATGAGGATATAACTGCCGAAGAACTTGCCGAAATCAAGAAGGCGATGGTAAGTGGTAGAGAAGGTATCGCAACACACTCAGGTCACTGGTACAATTGCGCAAATGGACATCCTGTAAGTGTCGTAACCAGTAACTGTACAGCGTAAACTGACCCTCTATTTAGTTTGCTATTGGCGAATGCGGAATGCCAATGCAACTTGCGCGTTGTCCGGAATGCGGCGCCGCTGTTGGAGGATTAGGTCATCAGGCTGTTGAAGGGGTTACCAGAGCTACACAAATGGAAGGATAGAGTGATGTGTGGTGGGTAAAGCATCTGCGACAACAGAAATAGAGATTCCGTAAGCACTTTGGTACGTGTATTATGACCTGCAATCTGTAGCGCCTATTCATTCTGCACAATGCCCAGTCATCAATCATTTTCTCGAATCGCCATCGCCACACAGCTAATTTAGAAGTAAATTACCAATTGTACTTGAAGCTTCTACGAGATAAATATCATTGTTTCTCTACTTACGATGTTGATAAAAAGAACTCGTTGTTTAGAGTCGCTTCCCGCTCAAGGAGGATCTTCTTCTAAGCTGCTCTAAGAGCCGGTATCACAAAAATCCTAATCTAAGATACTGACTAAGAGTATAACTATAGCTTCTACTGCTTGTGTAAGCGCTAATAGATCTCACCTCAATCACAAACTTACCTATCAAGCTTGATCTAACCTAGTTTAGAACTCATGACTTCTCTCTTTCATCATTCCTACGGCAGATGATCGCTAGAACAAATGGTCTGAGACTGGTAGTACCTTAATTTCTCGAAGGAGAAAGTAATTGTTGAGTTCATTTACCATGAGAATGCCGAGGACTTGCCTAGAAAGGTAGAGAGGCTATGCGAGCAAGAGTCCCACGATACAAACACTTTGTTACAGACAGTGAACAAGTCCCTTAAGCTCTTGCGAAACGATGGGTATGGGGAGTCATACCCAAGGGACTCGAGGCGACTAATAAAGCAATGGACAGTGGGTCAAGAGAGATCACTACCTATTCAGGTCATAGGGGTAGTTGTGTGAATGGACATTCGGTATATTTAAACCCTTGCTACATATCGAATTTTCAGCTATATACTGACTAGCAATTGATAGCTTGCTATTGGGCAATATGGCACAAGGATTGGCGGACACCATTACGAAGCCATGCAGGGTGTAGCTAATGCTGAAAATACAGAGCGTTGAGGTACTCGTCTTAAGGTTAGATCTAGACCATTTGGGTTCAATATGAATGATGTTCACAACTAAAATACAAAATACAAAGTAATTTCCTATCCTTTCTAATTTGCCTAATCAAAATGTTTTGCCTAAGACTCTGGGTTAGGAAATGCTGTACGAGGTAGCAAGACAGATTTATAGGGACAAGAGGCACTACTAGACTGTATTTCTAAAAGAGACAGTAATTTCATTGGCACAATGTGTAACGAAATACTAAGTTCTCATTCAACCGGCCCCATCCACGCGCCAGTTAGTTTGACAGCTATATCAGCAAGGAGACCTTCCTACCAGCCTTTAGGGCTGCTTTCGAGCAGTCTATTACGAAAGAGAATATCCAAGCTGGTTTCAGAGGCGCTGGGCTAGTCCCACATAACCCACAGGCTGTGCTATTAAAGCTTGATGTGGTGGTGCAGACACCAAAACAATCACCGCAACGGGCAGCTACCTGGGAGGCGCAGACACCACGCAACGCGCGCNAAGTCGAGGCTCAAAGTACTCTTATTCGACAGAGAGTAAGAAACCGCCCTGGGTCTTCTGCAAGTTCTCTAGACGAGAAGGTTGCGCAGTTAAGTAAAGGAGCTCAGCAAATAGCACATGAGATGACGCTTATGAGAGAGGAAGTAGCTGCTCTTCGAGAGGCTCTAGATGCGGCAAACAAGCGTAAG